AGAGATGGTCCCTAAAACTCCCTGACCAGGCAGAGGGCCTAGTCACATAGTTGAGCTCCACATACAAGGAGAGACTGTCTCAAATATACAAATAAATAAACGAATAAACAGGAAAGGCAAGCAAGCAATTGAGGAAGACAAGCAATGCTGACCTCAGGTCTCCACATGCATACGCACATATGTGCACATGCACATACAAAAATGCTCTACAATTTCTAAAACCATAGTACAGTATAAAGTCAAATGGAGTGAGGGCTGTGACTGGGTCTTACTTGTATCTAGCTGACATAGAACTAGCGAGCACAACTGACACTGAGCCCTGGGATCAGTGAGAGACCTTATCTGAAAAAGAAGGTGGAGCTCCACCAGGGGAGACTCTGGATACCACCGAAAATAAAATAGTGTCTAGCTCCTGTAAGTGAAAGTTAACCTTTAGAAAACAACAAAATTGTTTTTTCTCAGTCCAAAAAAAAAAAATCATCCAAGTTTACATTATAGCTAGACATTTTAAAATAATAAGTCTTAGAAATCATGGAAGCTTTAAAAAAAAAAAAAGAAATCATGGAAGCTTTAAAAAAAAAAAAGAAATCATGGAATCTTAATACAGAAATGCATTTTGCTCTGGTGTTTGAGTGAAAGGGAAAGGACAAGCTGACCCTGAATCCACTGGTCAGAATGGGTTTGAGCCATACTCTATCCCTGATCTCACTCTAAAGACAGCGTCCTGCTACTCTTTTTTCCATGTCTGTTTGTCACTTCCTGCTCATTGTTACTGTGTACGTGTCATCTGGGAGGCTTGGGGGAGGGAGACACGACACTCACATGGAGGTCAGCAGACAACCTTACGGAACTAGCTCTGGCCTCCCTCCTTTAAGTGCATCCTGGGGCTTAAGCTCAGATCACCAGGCTTGTAGAGCGAGCTCCTTCACCCACTGACTCATCTCACCAGCCTAAATTTTAGGTTTCCTATGAGATTCTGAACAGCCATGAAAATGTCATCAACCAGATAAATGTTTCACTTTAACTGGGAGACTATAGGATTTCTCCCTGTTTGCTGTCCCCCTGCAAGCCCACCTTAGGGGCTTCTAATTTTAATTTCTTTTTATAAAAGTATAATCTAGAAAGTATAATTTATACTTTATCTCTTAAATGCTGTAATTAACACAGTGACCATGCAGAGTAAGCCATCAAATCTTGCTTACTTTAGCAAATTCTTGGCCTGGACAATTCTAAACTCTCGACAGAGATCCTTAGGGTAACCATGACTTGTAAGATTTGGTCAGGAATCTATTTTATTTTCTTGGAGACAAAGTTTCACTGTATAGCCCTGACTGTCCTTA